GACAAGTGCCAAATCATTATTGCCAAATGACAGAGTTGAAACAGCAAGGGTTGTGGTCAGCAACGGTAAGTAACTACCGACAGTGGTCAGAGTAGGGACATGGTGTTGGGCTCCCAAGGCTCATCAATGCGCGAAGGCAACCAAGCCTTTCCCATCTGGTCCATCTGGAGTCAGAGTGCTGACGCTAACCCCTGTCCCAACTGATGAAAGCACCTACAATGGCCACATGACCTTCGGAACTGGACCTTTGAGCAATGGAAGAAAGTTGCCTAGTCCAATGAGTCCCACTTTCTTTTACATCACATGGATGGCTGGGTAAGTATGTGTGGTTTAATTGTGGAAGTGATGGCACCAGGATGCACTGTGGGAAGAAGACAAGCCAGTGGAAGGAGTGTGATGCTCTGGGCAGTGTTCTGGGTGTGTGCATTCAAGTGGACATCATTTTGACACATGCCACCTTCCTAAACATCATTGCGGACCAGGTACATCTTAATGCCACTGGAATTCCCTGATGGCAGTGTCCTCTTTCAGCAGGATAAGGCACCTTGCCACACTGCACACATTGTTCAGGAATGGTTTGAGGAACACAAAGAGTTTAAGGTGTTGCCCTGGCCTCCTATGGGATGTGCTGGAACAACAAGTCCAATCTGCGGTGGTTCCATTTCACAAATTACAGGACTTAAAGTAACTGCTGCTAATGTCTTCATGCCAGATACCAAAGGGCACTTTCAGAGGTTTTGTAGAGTTCATGACTGGGTGGGTTGGAGCGGAGGACCAATCACATATTAAGCAATGTTTTGGTTCATCTGTGTATATGTATACGCATAAACACTGCAATGGAAATTGCACTTGTGAATATTTCACTGCCCTCTCTTGTAAATCCTTTGCTTGTAGGTGATGTCTTACCCACAAACTGGTTGCTAGGATCAGAAATAACGGTTGTGATAAATATAATGCTTGGCATTTGGTAATGCCACCATCAATTCCTTCTCATCTTGGCTCACTGTTTTCCAAAACAGTATCTTTCTCTCTCTGGGAAAAAGAGATTGGAAGCATGCCTGTTTTTTGCCAAAAGCCCTGTTGGTTACATAAATCTGTTGATGCTATGCTCCCCTTCCTCTTACAACCACCATATGTGTAACAGTTTAAAAACACATCTAGTCTCTGAGTAGGTTCCGATGAGATTTTTTTTTATGTGCAGGCGTATGGAGGGGTGGAGGGGGGCTGCGAGGACGGGGGCACTGTAACAATAGGAAATCTCACGCCTCTGTCATGGCACATCTGTTTAGTTACATCAGAACATTGTGTTCTAGCAGTGAGGAGGGGGTCAGTAATGGGGGAGCGGGCCACTGTGGAGAAGAGCCACAGCCACTGTTATGTAACAAAGACAACAGCTAGAGACAGTCCCTGTGGAAACGCTCTCTCTCTCGATTCAAATCAAACGGCTTTATTGGCATGCCAAATAAAGCTAAATTAATATTGCCAAAGCTTAGGTTACAGGACTGAGAATATTAAAAGGAAATCTAATAAGAAAATTCATATGCATTTTAGAGTCTGTAAGAGACTTGCAACACTGCAACTGCAGAGGGAAAATAAATAGACCTGCATACAGTACTGTACAAAAGTCAGGGTCATTCATTTCAGTAGAGGAGATTAGATATAAAATAATCCACTCAAACAAGGAAGGGGAGAGTCTAAGGAAGAAACAATCAGACAATTAAAAGTTTTCAAAATACTGAAATTCAGTGATTAAAAGATTTAGAGAAAATGGAACTTGTGACAACCATGCAAGACCTAGCAGACCACCAAACCTGTCACCATCAGATAAACAGTATTTAAAGCTTTCGTCTTGGAGAGGAGAAAGTCTCAATTTTTGCTTCAGATCTGAAAAAAACTGTGTTTCTGTCCATCCTTCCACAGTGAGAAGACAACTCAACGCTGTGGGTCTGAAAGGATGTGAAGCTGTCAAGAAGTTGTTACTTACACCAAGATTTTAAAAAACAGCTGATAAAAACTTTAGAAGTACTCTAGTACCAAGTGACCAAGTGACCATGTTTTGACTCGCAATGCTTGTAGAAGGACTTTCAGAGGGTAGAACACAGGCTTGTTGACTCTGTGATGGATTTGCATCATAACGTCTCATGTTTCCACAGACATGAGAGAGGTTTTTGTTGTGTCTGGTTTTCAGTTTGGCTGCTTCCTGTTTAGACCATGCATGCAACCTCATACCCCTGCTGATTTGATTTGGGGTTGCATTTAAACCACTATGTGCTACATCATTACCTATTACATGCTGATAGTAACGTAAGTGTTGAGAAATGAAAAGTCTTATTGATTCTTCCATGCTAATAGCGTATATCTCGCATGATTTCTGAGTCATGAATGGAGAGAAAAACACAAATATATTGGAAAAGTGATATAAAATGGTGTAGACCATACAGTTGCTAATTCATCTCTGTATTATGTCCTGAAAATGCTTCGGGCAGGCAGCTCCACTATTCATTCAAAACCACCTGGTATTCATATCACACCCAGCAAAATGCAGAAACAAGCCCACATGGAGGCTACAAGAGCGGGGGAAGGATCTGAGGGACAAGCCCCAGGAGATACACGTCTTCTGCAGTTCTTCTGGTGAAATAAGGTCAAGTCTTGGGTGAGGCTGTTTTAATGATCAAGGCCTTTTACACACAGCCACAAATGTGATATTTGTATTATGGTTAGTGTCTTCAGTGGTCTTATGATTGCTGTTACTTTGAGATAAAATATAATGAGATAAAAGATATGAGTCATAGCAGGCCCTGGCTGGTTGCTTTGGCCTAGTTCTGGTCTAGTAAAACCTCAATCATATCGAAACTGTTCCTCCCTTGAAATGAGCTGTGTTTGAGAAAAGGATTTCAATAGGTGTACACCTTTGTACATGTTTATACTTGAGCTCAATGGAACAGTCTGTAATTTTTTTGAATGACGCATCAATACCTGACTAACTAGAGGCTGAAACAAATGAGAGGTGACATTGTTTAAAGAACACAAAACACACATGTGCAAAGCCAAATAGAATCACTGAGGTTGAATGACGGGGGCAAATTCAGACTTTAAAAACACATGTATTTGAACAAAAGGCCCAAAAGAAAAAATCACCAGCCCAGAAAAACAGGCAGTCATGATAAAAACAAAAAGAGCTAGAAGGAAGTAAGAACGCTCTAGCATGTTTTGACTTTGTCTGTAGCCCTGGGATTTTGGCATAAACACATTCCAGATCTCTCAGTGTTTTTATTAGTCATAATAATGAAAGGAATAGGAATTCAGAGCAGAATTTCCTGGTGATTGTGAATTGCATCACATCCTGCAGCTGGCCTCATTATCCAGTTTTACCACATATACTCTGGAGACTAAAGCACTGAAGCCATAGAATCCTGTAGTGATGGACATTTGGAGTGTAGTTCAAAAACAATTGGTAAACATATGTTTATTTAAAAAACACCCCAATCCTCTAGCTAAACTCACCACCATGTAATTCACAGCTTCCTTGGAAGAAGTTTTAAATACAGTTATATAGCACTGAGCAAAAGTATTATGCACCTAAGCAAATTGTTTAAGGCCATTTATTTTGTCACTAAGTGTGTTTTTGATTGCAAAAACACTATATAACATTAGAATTAATACAAACATTGAAGTAGAAAAAAGCTACAAGAATTTATTGTTTTCAAAAATGTAGTTGAAGTCTTTTGAGTTGGTTAGAAGTTTAGCTCCAGATTTCTCCCTGACGCACAAATTCCAACAGCAGCAGTCTATAAAACATTGCAACAATTTAAATTTGTGTTGATATTATGAAAACTATTCTTCTTTTATTGTCCTTCACGTAACTTTTTAGCGCTTTTTTTGTTGTTGTTTCTGAAATGTTGGGGCACCTCCATTTCTGATGAGTGCTGCTTCTTTTCTGGAGTCAGGTCCATTACAGGTGCCCCCCACCTCCCCACCACAGGCAGTAACAGGAGACTTCCTTTTGGTCAGATGTAATATGAAGTGTAATATTCATTTGATTTTTATCTGGATTTACACTGTACCACTCTGGAGTTCACATTCACTTGTCAAGTGTTTCTACATGCTGTTTCTATGAGTTATTTCAAAATTTATAATCTTTCATAGTGTTTTAAACTAGGATTCAAATGTTTAGGTATTAAGTAATTATTATTTGTATTAAGTATCATTTGCTTGCCTAAAACAAACTAAATATCTATGAATGTTTGAAATAATAATCATAAACTTTGTTTTTTTCATTTGTTCTTGCTTTTTTTTAGCTATCACTTTATCTGCACTCGATTCTCAGGGCTGCTTAAATATCACGTGCAGGTGCATGAGCCTACTGAATCCTGGTTTGATTTAGTGGGAACAGATCACACCTGGATTTTATTACTGGAAGCCACTGAGCCTGGAGTCAACTGTCTGGCTAGACTAAGCAAGGTTAATTTAAATAAGTGCGGCTTTTATTATCTCGCTTTGTTGAATAACCCCCCCGGTAGAGAGTATAATACACATAGCTTGTTCAGAAGAAGAGTGCCAACATGCCAGTTTGACAATACTTGGTTTCCAACTAAAGGAGTGCAGAGAACTGCTTAATCTGAACAGTGTTACATGTGATCTGTGCAGAATATACTTATCATTTAGTTCATCATTATTAACATTGAACATTATTGTCCAAGTTTATTCAGCTGCACACCTGATTTCATGTAACGAAGCAGTGATCAACCAAACTAGGTATTGCATGACAACCACAAATAATACCAGCCTTGCATGAGGAAAGTACTTAAATATTTAAAAATCTCTACGTTTTGTATAAATTTTATGTCTATTCACTCATATTAATATTCTTCTGAGCACAAATAAAAGCACTTAAGCACTTAACTTAGGATAAACAGCTTTTTTATATTTTTTCAGGTGCCTAAAATGCCTGCACAGAACTGCATATTCATATTTGTTAAAATAAATAAATCGAGGATCTCTGGACTGACCATTTGCAATTTATTAAATTAAATTTGTGGAAGAGAAAAACAAACAATCAGAAGGGGGTTCAATATAAAGCAAACACATATTTGCTATTGACTTCCATCAACTGCAGATATGCCACAAAAAATCTTAAGAAAATAAATAACATCATGTAGAAAATTTCTTGGCCGGAAATTTTTCCTTTCTTCTATGCACATAAAAAGGCTGATTGAACTGATCTTGATACATGTAGTCATTCTTAACAAAAAAAGAAAACATTAAGAACCAACTTCAAAAGGACTGTTGCCTGACCAAATTATGTGTTTGTTCTTTTTTTTTCATTTGCAACACTAAATCAAGCTGTCCTTTGTCCCATCCAGTCCAATTTCAACATTAAAGGTCCTTTTAGCTACAGCTCTTATACAGACAGTGATTCTGATTAATCAAAAAAATCAAAAGCAGAAGAGTAAATCGAATACATTGCAGTGCAGACACTAGAAAAAAAGACTCCTTGTTGACTGAGCTCCTCTGAGAAGAAATAAGAAAGAAAGTAATCCTGCTATGCATCTTGAGATAATCTCCCAATACACAGTACATCACTTTGAAACCACTAGGGGAAAGAGGAAAAGAAAAGAAAAGGAAAAAAGGTAGAGTCTCTAGTCTTGCATTCGGTCTCAAGAATGAGCATGCATCTCCCAAATGCCCATCCTCCACGTTTTCCAGTCTTTCAGTGTTCAGTCCTCACCGATCCATCTTAATCCTCCTCCAGGCTGTATTGCACAGTCAGATTCATCAACAGAGCAGACGGCGCTCCTCCTCCTGTGTGGTCCGTGGGCCAATGGGAGCAGCTCCTCATCTCTCTGCCTCCATAGCCAGGCTGGGTTGCTCGGAGGAGGCCTGCTGGGTGACGGCCGCTGGCCAGTTTGGTGTGGCCGCCTGTGAAGGGAGCTGAGCGGCCGTCCATAGGCCCTGCTGCCCGGCGGCAGCTGCGGGGCCCATGGCCCAGTTGACGTAAGAAGGTGGGGAGGTAGCCATGGATGCGATAGGGCTGCTACTGCTGCCAAAACTTTCAGAGGCTCGCAGACGGGAGAACATGGCTAGAGCATCTGGGAAGTTGGGAGGCGTTGCTGGGGTGTTAGCAGGTGTGCACATCTGTTGTAAGAGATGATATATGGATGTAAGGTGTAACACACAATAATGGATGCACAATCAACTTCACCAACTTTTTCTCTTTGAATTCTCTTTCAACATGCTTTCAATCATAAGACTCATTCGCTCAAATAAGGAGCCCAAAGCACAACCCACAATACAAAATGTTCTTCTGCACATTGCATGTAATTACACATTTCCACCAGAGAGGTCTCCAAAACCATAAAAAAATAAGCTATAAAGAAAGTATAAGCTTCCATTACTTGTTAGCTACATTAGCCTCTGAGCTCCAGTACAAGACTAAAAAAAAAGCAAATGTCAAACAAAACAATAAAATTGGAAACATAACAGTATTGGCAGATATTTGCTTAAAGGTCTCAGACCTTGGAAAACCAAATTTACTTTTTTTGTTGTTTTTTTAAATAAAGAGTTTAATATAGTATGTAAACATTGCTAGTTTCAAAACATACTATTCACTCCCTAGTTCCCACAGTCCATATATGGAAACTAAGCAGCAAAAACGGGCTACTTGGGATAAATTGTTTTTGTGATGCATAGATCTGCCTATTCAGCCCACAACAGTTTAGCTCCACCATTCACAAGTTATAAGGACTGTTTCAGCCCAGGCTGATTTTTAATGATGCTCAATATAGGGCAGCCAGTCAGCTCAGTTAAATTTACATGTATGAATCTTCAAGGCACAGTCACAAAAACAGGTTATTTAATTCTTAGGGATAAAGAGAGGTTGCAAGACAATGATGTAAAAATGAATTATGACTGTTTTTTGTACATAAAACCAAACAAACATTATAACTGGACCTCAAGGAAAACAGTAAAATACAAGAAAAATGTAGACCCTTTTAAACAAAATCAGCATCAAACAGATTGTTAGATTTGATCGATATTTAAATATTTGATGATGTATTTATTTTCTCTGGAAGAGTGGCACATTTAGGTAATGCTGTACTTCTGTGCTAAAATGTCTGCATTTTAATAATTTCACTCCATTTGTAAGGCTCTTAAAATATATATTACATTTCTCCATAGTGCTAATCCAATTTCTACATTTCATAAATGTTTATGTACTGGTGTTCATATGTATATGGCATCAGCCTACATACTGACTGATACACTACATCTGGGGTGAAGGGAAAATTATGTAACTTACATTTTTTTGCCAACTGTCGTGTTACTTATGATGTACACTTTTGCTATGGTTTTTTAAGACATGTCTGTTTCACTTGGAATCAGTGCAAAAGAAGCAAAGAAATAAAGCTGGTTTGTAGGGCACTACAAATAAAGACTTCCACAGATGTGGGGTGCTATGTAGCAAGAACTGGAAGCCACTGCTAACTGCAAACATATACAAACACATATATACACATGTAAAGCTGTGGATCAAAATGTCAATTTAAAGAGTAACTGCCTTGATTATAACATATAAGACCACTTAATTACTCTAATTCTGTAAAAGTGTCTCTGTATGACTGGCTCCAGCTTGCACACACTGCTCTACTCGAGACTAGACTCTACCTTCTAGTCACAAGTCACAGGAATCATTCTTTCAGCAGATTTCCACTGGCCACTGTGGTCAGAGGGCTTCTGCTTGCTTCCTGTCCCATGCTGGGTCATCTCAGGCATGTCCAGGAAACCCTGAACAGTTATAGCTCTGCACCATCCCCCAAATATTCTCACGACTTCCTTGCATAAACACGTCAGCCCACTCAGTCCAATCAACCACAAAAATGATTTCATTGTATTGAGACGAGGATGGAGCCTTGAACTGAATACAATAAAGTAGCGCTGGACAATATAGATACGATTCACTACCACTATATTTTCCCAAATATATCACTGTAGCCGATGATATTTCAGTTTACATTAAGTGGCTTTCAGAGTACTGCTACTCTATTCTAAAAGAATGTCTTACAAACCTCACATAGCTCTTTTTAACTGGACTGTTTTGTACCGTTTTCCTCTCTTAAAATCAGACCAAAGGGAACTTTACACAGTATTGTAAACATTAACCACGCATAACCGACTTACAGAAATGAGAGTAAGTATTTGCTTAAAGGTGAATTCCACTTTTTTTATTCTGCATAATTAAATGCTTAAGCTGTAAACAAAGTCATTCAGACTGGTTTGATGTTAAATCCAATGTTCTAGAGAAACCTGCTGAGTCAGAATTGTTCCGTGGTGATGGGAACCAGATGTCCAATGCATTTCATACCTCTAAAAGCTACCTCACTGAAAGCTGTTACATGAAATGGTAACAAATGCATTGCATGATGTCACAGACATTGTGAAATGATGCTTGTTACAGTTGTGAGATGTTTTTGGCCTACTTTTTTTAATTGTATTTATTTATTTATTTTGAATTTCTCCATTTTAAAAATGTCCCCCCTGGAGAGGTACATGCAGGGCATTACAAGGCAAAACAGTCCCCAAAGAAAACCTTTTCTTTTTGGATTTACCACCATTTTACCATTATTAACATAACATATAAAAACTCAGAAGACACGTGTGGCTGCACTGGTTGTTTTGGATAGAAAATATGATGGGATACATTTAAGTAGCAAACATCAAGACACCTGGTTTCTAACCCTGCCCTTGTGAAGAAATCTGAGTTGGCAAGTTTCTCTAAAATTAACTATTTGACATTGAAGTACTCTCAATGACTTTGCTTAATTCTCGATTCCTGAATTATGTAGAAATTTTGAACCATCACTGCAATTCACCTTTAATTTGCATGAATTTTATACGGGTTGTTCAAAACAATGACATACAGTTAACGCAGTTAACACGCAAATCTTATATCATGCATAAAACGCACTGAAGAGAAAAGTATCCAGTCAGGGAAGGGGGTCCAAAGCGCAACCCACATTACAAAAGGTTCTTCCACACATTGCATGTAATTACATATTTCCACCAGAGAGGTCTCCAAAACCCCAAATCTTACATAGCGTAGCTTCAAAAACAATTATTGGCATCAGACTGAAGTGAAGATTTTACTGGTTTTTCAAACCTATATTTGATTATACATTTATTGTACCCCAGAAGAGCAGGATGTTTGGGCAGCGCTAGGCTATTGTGCTAGAATGTCCGCATTTTATTAATTTCACTCCATTTACAAAAAGAAATTATATATATATATATATATATACATACATATACATATACATATATATACACATATACATATACATATATATACACATATACATATATATACACATATACACACACACACATATATATATATATATATATATATATATATACACACACACATATGTACATGAAAAATATCAGATATTGCCATATCGGCACATCTTGTACATGTACATGCCCCAAATGTAGTCGATCAGCCATGTTAGGTGTTTGCTTCTTTGATTCTTTAGTTTGCACCATAGCTACTACGTAGCAATGGAAGCTATTGCCCAACAATTATCATCATATATGGGCAAAGTGTACTCAAAGTTGAGCTTTAAGACAGCTGCTATTACTGTTTTCAGCTATGTCACATACTTTTGTCCCTTTTTTATAGACAACAGTCTGCCATACAGTGTGATAAATAAGTAAGTCTATTTGAGTTACTTGAGGGATGAAATTTTCAAATTTTCTACATAAGTCCAGCACTGAGAAGTAAGATAAGTCATTCAAAGTGGTTTGATGTCAAACAGTTCATTGTTTGCTCCATCTGAGCCACAATAAACACTGTCAGACAGTTTCCTGCTTTTTATTATCTCTGTAAGCGAACCGAAAAAATCTAGGTAACAAATTAAACACATACTGCTAAGATATGCTGACCTATATTTTTAGGTGAGAGACAAACATTATATTGTGTTTCGGGTACTAGTGAAAAGTAACCATGTTTTATATGGTCCATACCACTACTGTTTATATTTACCCCATTAAATAGTACTAGAGTTCATGACAGAAGCAGCTTAAACACCATTAGCAAGTAGGGAGCTAAAAGAATGGTCTGATAAGCCGTTTACGGGGTTTTTCGTGTTTGGGCTGTGGGCCAGGCTCGGTGTGGTGGCTGAATGTAAGGCTGTGTGTGATGACGGTGGTAAACAGAGCCGTTGCTGTGGCTGTTCTCTCTTTTTCCTGGAATCACCCTCCCCCATGACTTGGGACACGTTTACAAAAAAATGAACTTGTTAAAGGTTTTAACAGCCAGGCTTACCGCGGTCTGGTCCCTAAACACAAGAAAACACCGCCAACTGTGCTGCAGTCTTAGTCTGAACGTCGACCAGAAGAAGAGAATAAAGTGAGGCGAAGATATATGTTTATTTTTATCCGACTCGTGGACTCGCACAACATGGCGGAAGTCAGTCACACGGAGAGGAGAGCCATTTCAGATGATATTACAGTTTAAACTCACCATTTGATGGCTGTAGGGAATGTTAGCTTCCTGAAAGAAGGCGCTGAGGGCAGTCTGTAACACGAAGAAGGGAGAAAGGGAAAGCGCATTAGTCTAATTAATGCAAAGACATGGCGTGTATATAGGGTTAAATAGCCTGGTCAGTGTCACCATTTATTTCAATCAATAAGACAACTCCATTGAACTTTAACATGGCGATAAAGCAACTTCTTCATCTGCCCTTCAGTGTGGACAATGTTTAGCCCATCGGGTTACTGAACAGTCCAAGTTAGCTCTTTTAAGTAACTCATAAAATGTGTGAGACACGCTCGCACTTTTCCCTTCTTCTTCCTCCCGAAGTATAAGAGTTTAAGAAGACATTTAACATATACAAGTGAGCCTGTGAACAAGTAATGAGGTGTAGGTATCAGGCTGATAATACAGTAACGCTACATAGTTTTCTGACATGCCACACTAAGCGGCTCCGGCAGTGCAGCATTAGCATTAGTGTGTGTGTGTTAGTAAACAAACTGCTGCTCTCCTACCTCGAACTGCCAGTGCGCCGCCTGTAGAAGCTGTTTGGCCTGATCTGACGCGCATCCAGCTATCAGAACAAACTGGTTTATCATAACTTGATGCTTTAGTTCGTCCATTCTATCAATCTGTGTTAACGTTTCTCCTCGGACTCCGTCAAACTCCGCGTAGTCGCTCATACCCTACTAGCCGTGACTAAAATGTTCAGCCCTGTACGTCAGTGTCCACGGCGCCCACTGCCGGACAAGTCGCGGCGGTGCAGCCGGTAACGCGTGGAGCGTGGAAGCACCAAAAACCTGACCTGACAGTCAGTACGTATTTACGACCGAGTGGGGGTGCCTGTGGGTGTACACCGATCAGCCATAGCATTAAAGCATTGTTTCTACTCTCATTGTCCATTTTATCAGCTCCACTTACTATATAGCTGCACTTTGTAGTTTTACAATTACAGACTGTTTCTCTGCATACTTTATTAGTCCCCTTTCACCCTGTTCTTCAACGGTCAGGACCCCGACAGGACCGCCACAGAGCAGGTATTGTTTGAGTGTTGGATGATTTTTTTTAAGCAAAACACACTACACAACATCATATACATCTAAAAAAAATATACATATGACAGTGTACACATACATGAATAAATTTGCTAGGGGGATGTACATAACTACACAAAAATCTTTACATACATGCTTTAAAGAATGTACATAACATGCTTTTAATATTTTTTTTGTTTTAAAGAGGGCTGTATGTATGTATGTATGTATTAATTCAATAAATTGTTCCCTCTCCTTTTCAGAGACAACAAAAATGGACCTTTTGCCTAACAATTTACACATTTTATTATTTATTATTTTAATTAATGTTCAATTATTTCTAAACTTGATTCTAAACGTGATTAGTCGCCAAATAATCGGACAGTCGGCTTATTACGATTGTTAATATAATAACTGTAATATGTATACAAAACATGGAAGAGCGGTAGTAAAGGACAGTGGAGTTGTGTGGCGGTGGAGACCCAGCGCACTCTCCTCTGTTGTTACAGTGAAGCGCAGCGGAGTCTGCGCACCGGATTGGCGGAGCGGACGGTTTGTCCCCGCGGCAGAGCCAATCCGGTCCCGTCCTGCGCTCTGCTGAGCGGTGCTGTTACTCGCTGCCACTTCCCGTTCAGTTGTTTTTAGCGTGGCTATCATCTTCGAGTAGCTACGCTACCAGAGGAAAGCCGATTCGCTACAGACTCCGAAAGATATTAGGAAGCCTGTCTGAATGTACTTTTCTGGACAGCTGAGTTTCCTTCGTGTTTTACAGGGTTGTTAGCTAATTATTAGCTAGCTAGCTAACCTACCTAAAAGTAGATAGCTAGTGAGCTAATTATCGCGTTAGCGCGCTAACTGGGTTTGCTGTCTAACAGACCAAGTTGTGGAGGTCGAGTATGTGTATGCGGTAGATATTAGTGAAACGAATACTGTCGAGAAAAGGGCGATTTAAGTACCTCTAACATGTTTAAACACTAAGTACTTGGAAGTACTTGTTCTGCTGAACGACGACGGAGAAGCTGGGGTGACGTTAGCTAGTTAGTGCGTTTGGTTTCACGGACAACAGAAGCAGCTGCTGCGTTAGTTAGCTCTTTTGCTCGCTAGGTTAGCTTATCAGTGGCATCCAGCTGTTAAATTTATATTGCAGTTAAATCGTAAAACATGGGTTCAGTCCTTGGGAGAAGGATCGCTGGGGTGGAGGATATCGACATTCAGGCAAATTCGGCGTACAGGTTTCCACCCAAATCTGGTAAGTTTGCTGGTTTGACAACTACTTAATTTAGCTAAGCTAGTTAATGTAGTTAGCTTACGTTTGTTAGTCCTGTTGTTTCTTTAGGATGACTTTTTGAGCGCTAACACAGTTGCTCTTTTCATGTTAGCTAAGTTAACTAGCTAGCTAGCGTGCATAACTGCTTGTATTTTGAGCTGTTTGTCCTTTAAGAAGTAAATAGTGTAACATGGTGCTTGTCTGTGGATGGGTGCACCGCAGGTTAAGTATTTTATTTGGCTACTAAGCACCTCGTTTGGTATTTTGCTGACAATAATATCTGTCTATAATTGCGCATAAGAGAGAGTTGGCCATATGCTGTTATTAGGTTCGCACTTATGTCTAATACTATGCTTAATATGTTCTGTGACAGTGTATTGTTAAATACATGTTTGAGTCATAAAATTGGTTTGTATGCTGAACTGAGATCTTTAAACTAACTCAGTTCTTTTCCTCAAAGGGAATTATTTTGCTAGTCACTTCTTCATGGGAGGAGAGAAGTTTGACACACCCCACCCTGAAGGTTACCTGTTTGGAGAGAATATGGACCTAAATTTTCTAGGCAACCGTCCAGTGCAGGTACGGACGAGGCTTTAAAGCATTGTATACATGGTAGTGTCATTTGTTCTTCAGTGTTTTTTGAACATGAGATTAGCACACTTCTTATTCATTTTCTTTAAGCCATACTGATTGCAACGTCTCTGTTATTGTTATTGATTCCCAGTTTCCGTATGTAACCCCGGCACCACATGAGCCAGTGAAGACTTTGAGAAGTCTTGTTAACATCAGGAAGGACTCATTACGACTCGTCAGGTGTGGTATCATATTGCTTCCTTCTCCGAATCCAGCTTTAAGCTGCTTAATGCCATTTCAGAATGCTTTGTACGTTTACACCCATGCAAACTATGCAGTCATCTAATATATGAGGATGTCATGAGCCTCTGACTTAAACAAGCTGAGGGAAAAAAAAAAAAACAGAAATTTGAAAATAATGTTTAGATTACTCAACCAGTAAACAGAATACCTGTATAGATTGATTTCAAATTGTGTTTGGTGTGTAGGTACAAAGATGATGGTGACACCCCCACTGATGAAGGGGCAAAGCCTAAGGTTTTATATGGAGTGGAATTCACCTTTGATTCGGATGCTCGAGTGGCCATAACTATCTACTGCCAGGCCTTTGAAGAATTTTCCAATGGAATGGCAGTGTAAGACACACTCCCTTTTTGGCAGTTTTCCACAGACATGTGTAGTATATTTCTGTCTTTCTTTTTAGAGACCTGTTTTATCATCATTCCTGTACACATGAAGACAAATAACCTGTTATGTCCTGTTATATCTGATTTCAGCCAGTGTTTTCCAGTTTATTGTACCCTGCTGAGGTTAATTAGCTATTACCATCATCAAAATCTATTAGCCTTATATGCATTGGGGATCTGAGTCTTTATCATGTTGAGGGAAAAAAAAACATTTTGCCATTATGATCAAATCTGGCTGTTTTCTGCCCCAGGCTTAAAATGAATAATAGCTATAGGTCTGAGAAGAACAGAGAGATTCAGAGCCCATAGCAACAGCTTGTTTCCATGGATACGCCGCAAGTTTGTACTGAGAGGAACGGCGGCTCTGCATAGCAGGAGTCTGTACACACATGATGCATTTGATTAATTGGCCTCTTAGAGTCTCATTTCCTCTACATTTGCATTAATTCAGTGACGTGGTTTGGAAATCTAATTTGAGAAGATTTACCGTCTATGATGAGCAGTCAATTATTATTGAGCTTTTCTGAATCAGAACACTGGGTGATAAAGGAACAGTTTCATAGAATTAGTCTTTGTTTTCTGTGTCTTATTATTCATAGAGGTCTGATGTATTTTTTCCCTCTTAAGTTATAATCCCAAGAGTCCTTCAATGGTGTCTGAAACGGTGCACTATAAGCGAGGGGTGAGCCAGCAGTTTACCTTACCCTCCTTCAAGATTGATTTTTCTGAATGGAAAGAGGAAGATGTGAGTACTGCCAACCCATCTTGGTGATGTCACTCTCAGATGAATACAGTCATGCTGAATTTTAAGTAAGATCATGTTATCATTTAGATCATTTCATGGACGAATGTCTGAATTTGTTATCTAATAGATTTTTATCTATTAGAGCAATACTATTTAAGCAATACGAGAAAAAAATGCCCCTTGAAATGAACTGATAACTTTGACACAGCAGCTGTAAAAAAGTTAAAATGCAGTTGTAATAGAATTGAAAGAAAGGAGGATGATCAATTATTAAACTTTGTGTATATTTATGTATATTCGCTACAGAAGTGATCAAAAGGAAAGCCCTTGTAAGCTTATCAATGGAGAGACAATGAATAAATATAAACTCTATGAATAATATGTATAGTATGTTCGACAGGAAAAACTTGAATAACTAATTACAGATTAAATACGTCAGAAAGTATGCCCAGTCCCCATATAGCAAAAATGTGGAGTATCTGATAACATGTTAAAGTATCAGCATTACATGTAAAGTCTGTGCTTAAAATGTCTAAGGCCAGTAGATTTTATATATATATATATATATATATATATATATATATATATATATATATATATATATATATATATATATATATATATATATATATAAACGTATTTACAGTGTTCGTCCTTTATATAAAAAAAGTGCATGTATGTTCACTAATGCACAGGGGTTAAACAATGCACTCAGCTCATGATTTGTGCTGACTTATGATACTGGGTTCACGATTTGGTGTTCACATGATATTTTGATTAAATTTGAATGAAGAAAAATGATAACTATAACCAAGCACAACTTATGAATGACACTAAAACTGGGAGGCACGGGGAGTGCTGGAGTCAGTTGTTGTTCTTCTTAGTATTTTCTTTGGCTGTTCAACAGAGACCTAGAACAAAAGCCATTCACTCATTTCATGTATAAACTCTACATTTCCTTAAGGATCTTTAAACAGTTAGGTTTAATGTTTCACATAGAGGATAAGTCAGTGTAAATCTAATAACAAATGATTTCTTCCCTGATATTGTTTTCAGCTGAATTTTGACTTGGACAGAGGTGTTTTCCCCATGGTCATTCAGGCTGTTGTGGATGAAGGAGATGGTATGTGGTGTAGTTGGTCATATGACTTAGATAAAAGCTCTTCTATATTTAACTGTGTTACTAAATCTTGTTAGCCATGTTGTGCACTGCATCTTAATGGAGGTCAGTGTGTTAGGAACACCTTTGATCCTACGGTGGTTTTAAGTGTATTATTCTTGTTGCAGATTGCCTGGGACATGCACATGTGTTGTTGGCTGCCTTTGAACGAGTAGGTGGATCCACACTCAGTTCTGAGATACGTACTTATTAGCAAGATTTAAGCATTTAAGTGACTCAGCTAACATCTGGACAGTTGAATTACAGTGATAGTTAACTTCGTGTTATTGATGATGTTTGTGACTTCATGGTATTGATTATGTTTGTGAAAGCATATTTAATGAATAATAGAGCTGCTGTAAATCTAATTTATATTTTCCCATTTGAAAGCATGTTGATGGAAGTTTCTCTGTGAAGCCCTTGAAGCAGAAGCAAATCGTGAGTAATACCTGCATTTGATCGCTGTTTAACTTATTAAAGAAGGCTGAATGGATAATTCATTTTGTGGTGAGATTACATTACACTGGAGCTAAGCTTCTGTTAGATTTACCACCTGATATCACTGCTGACTGTTTACAGGTGGATCGGGTTAGTTACCTTCTGCAGGAGATTTATGGCATTGAAAACAAGAACAACCGAGAGACTAAGGTAAATATAATCATCATTCCTCGTATTAGGTAGTTATGTTTGTCTCTTCATCTGTTTTTCATATTTGTCTATATATCAATATTCCCCATTGTGATAGACATTTTGCAAAATAATTTATATGGTAACCCATTTGAACAGAATCCAAAGCACTGTCAAATCAAACCATTGTCGAAAAGACATCAGTATAAAACTATTCAGCGAATACCACTTTGAACATTCTTTCAAACACTTAACATGATCTCAGTGCTGCAAGCTTTGATTTAAATTGCAGAGCCTGTGTAAGTTGACCCTCTGTCTGATCCCTTCTCCAGCCATCTGATGATGAGAACAGTGACAACAGTAACGAGTGTGTAGTGTGTCTGTCAGACCTTCGCGACACACTCATTCTGCCTTGCAGACACCTGTGCTTGTGTAACTCTTGTGCTGATACTCTGCGCTACCAGGCCAACAACTGCCCCATCTGCAGACTGCGTATGTACCAGTTACACCATTTACTGTTGTCATAATTGTGATCAAATAAGTGCAAAGAGGGGAAACAAGTATTTAAACACTTTTGTTCTTTTTATGTAGTATATTTCCAGTGTATATATATTTATAGAAACTTTACACCCAATGTCTTTTGATTTTGTTCTTACGAATATGAATAAGTAGTCTGCACTCATAAGCATAAACATAGATATGTATAAAATCAAAATTGAGAAGTGGAAAAAAGTGGTTAAACACCACAAATATAAAACATTAGTACTTTGTTGCAAAGCCGTTGTTGGCAATTACAACTTTGAGATGTCTGTGTTAAGAAGTAATTAGCCTTTTGCAGCGCTTTGATTCAGTTTTGCCCATGCCTCCTGGCAGCCCGATTTCAATTCCCTCAGGTTACAAGGGGCCCTCTGATGAGTTATTTTGGCTAGTATGCATGTGGTTGTTGTCTTGTTAAAACGTCTATGTTTTGATAACATGCAGTGACCCAGTACTATTGCCAAAATGTTCCATTTTTTTGTTTTGTCTCACTAGAGTATTTTATTCCAAAATGCTTGTGCATGGATCTCTGTGCTTCTTTTTTAGTCGAGGAGTTGGGTGTAGGAATGGAGATGAGTGCAGTGCAGTTTTTGCCTATTATTTTCTGTGTGACTCTTGTTCCTGCTGCTTTCAGGTCGTCCAGCAACTCTTACCTTCTTTATCATTAGTCTGAGAGTACCTTGTAAAATCTCGCGTGGCGCACCTGTCCAGGGACCCATGTTTATTGCTCCGTGAACATCCCATCTGTATATTATTGAACCAGTTTTAAGGTATTTGTTAGGGCTTTGTAGCTTTATTCAGTTTGAGTGTTGTTCAGTGTTGCTCCTGAGAACTTTAAGAAGCTCCTTAATCTTCATGAAAGATACTTGTTGCAAGTACAATGCAAAAGACATTATGGGTGTAAATTTGAAGTGAATTTATGTTCTGGAAGTATATTAAATAATAAAAACAATAGTGTTTGAATACTTGTTTCCCTTCACTCTATACACCTACCAGCTACTTTATTAAATACCCCTACCTAGTATCTACTCTCTTTGTCTATTTTATCAACTTCCCTTACCATTTAGGTGCACTTATATAAGTAGTTCTGCAGTTACAGACTGTAGTCCATCAGTTTCTGTGTGTAAATTTAATACCTGCTCTGTGGTGGTCCTGACTGTTTAAGAACAGGGTAAAAGGGGGGCTAACAAAGTATGCAGACAAACGAATGACCTGATAAATTAGACATTGTATGTAGATACTAGGATGTGTACTTAATGAAGTGGCTGGTTGGTGTATAAGTGGAATTATCAAAATGGTGGTTTTAAACAACTGTGGTTAATATTCATAAACTGTGAAATTGATTTGTGTGTGCAGCATTTCGAGCCCTGCTACAGATTAGAGCAGTGAGGAAGAAGCCTGGTGCACTCTCTCCTGTGTCCTTCAGCCCTGTGCTGGCTCAGAGCATGGATCATGATGAGCACTCTGTATGTCTCTTTTGTTACCCATCAGCATGAACATTTATGCAAGTCATTATAATGCACAAACATATGTTAACATGTGTTATTTACTTTTCAAAATACATAGTATACTTATATATTGGCTGGGATTCAGAGTGCATTCTGAGTGTACCTTCTCCACACTGTTTCTGAGAGATGGCTCATTCATTTATCTGTCCTTGCCTCTTTCTGCCCTCAGAGCTCCGATTCAGTTCCCCCTGGCTTTGAGCCAATCTCCCTGTTGGAAGCTCTGAACGGGCTCACCGCTGTGTCTCCTGTGGTCCCATCAGCCCCTCTTTATGACGAGATCAACTTTTCGGGCAGTCTGAGCGGGGAGAGTCGGCAGCTCAGCTCTCCCGAGCACTCTGGAGACAGCGGCCTGCAGAAGGGCAAAGTCAGCAAGTCACCTGACAGGTAAACTTGTCACTGTGATTGCTGTTTAAAGCAGTGCTTCATCCAAACATCCTAATATTGCTAATAGTGACCTGAAGTTAGCTGGCACATTTGGGGTCATTTCCATCATTAATTTAAGGGAGTCAGTTGCCAAGATGTATTAAAATTGTCTATGAAAACGTCACAGATTGTCAGTTATCTGCAGTGTCTCATCTATTGGATTAGCTGATTAAAATTGAATCAAATTCAAAATCGGCAAATAAGCATTTCATGGTTGAAATGTTCTCTTAAATTTGAGGCACAATAGAGTGGCCAGTGTCATGAGAGTATGACACTGGCAGAGTTTTTGGCATCCTCATGATGGTGTTGAATAACGGCTGGCCCTGGGCAATGGCAACATGCCGCTCCATGTGTGAGTTGGTCTGCAGCACTGTGCCAGAGGTCATGACCTCCTCTTATGCCCAGTACTGGGGCTGATTGCTGAGTCAGCAAGTCCTCAGCCAACTTTGCAGAAGCCAGTATGGTGAGAGGGGAAAAAGTGCAAGATATCTCTGCTTTCCTGGCTGAGCTCTTTTCTGGCCTCTCCACAGCACCCTGCGGTCGCCTTCATCACCCATCCAGGAGGAGGACGAGGAGAAGCTGTCAGAGATGTCTGATGCACAGGCCCATACGCTGCTGTCTAGCAGCCCTGCTCCTACCGAGGTCAGTCAAAAGTATACTTTTTACTTTCTGTTTACTCTCCTACACACATGCTCGTTGTTTCTCACCATTTGTCATTATTTAGGGTACTGCTGGAGAGGATGTTGCGGACTCCCTGTCTCCTGAAGATGGTTAGTGCCCTGTTTAAAGTAATGCTTTTTTTGATTCTTCGCTGTCTTTCCACACAGAACTCTACTGTAACTGAAAGCTTCTCACTGCCTTGGTGGTCATCTGGAAATGGATGCATCAGTCTTTTTTCTTTCTACCTCCTTGATACATGCACACACACTCGCGCACACACAGCAGCTCTTTGCTAATTCATAAAAATTTAGAATGGGTTATTAATATTGTCTGTACAGAGGATAGGCTGAACTCGGAGGGTGAGATTGTGCCTGACTGCAGCAGTGAGCACAGCAGCCTAACCAAAACTGAGAGTGACCCACCTGGTGAGTGGCCTTTCTAATAAGCAGACAAGGGGCTTCTCTCTTCCAGACATTTGTACCTGCTATTTGTACACTGTTCCTGTGTTCTTTGCTGGCAAAAAAGTTAGCTGTGTTTTTCTAGCAGCCACTGTGCATCTCTCTAACTGGCTTTTTGTCAGCTTTGCAGTCTAATGTGTGTGGTGTGTTCTGTCTTTCTGACTTCTCTTGCCTGCCATTGCCTTCTTCTTGTGACCCTACTCTGAGACCTGCAGCTCTAGGTCCTGATTCCTGCTCTATCGGTATGGAAGAGTAACTCTGGTATGTAGGCTGCTCTGTCTCTGTCCTTCATGTTCTTCTTCTCACCCTTATACAGACATTTATGGATAAACCTGAAAATGTCTGTAAATGTTGAAAAAGTGAGTTTGTCCTTTAATAAGCCCAGCCCCCTTGGTTACTACTTCTGACAAGCTTTCGAGCATGGCCTTACAACTGCAGTTCTTAATGAAAAGGCTAGATTTCCATAATTTCATTCCCATTTTGTTGCAAAAGTGAAATGCATTGTTCCTGTACTGCAGGATGGGTAAAAGTATGTTTATATGCATTTTAAGTGAAACTCTTAGTGTGTATCCCATTGGATCTTATTAAATACTTCCATTGTTAGCTAAACTAGCTAGCGAGGAGTGATTAGGCAATCACCAAAGAAAGACTTAGTTAGCCTTACTTGTTTGTTAGCTTACTTAGCCATTTACCTTGAATTGACATTCTGACCAGATCTGTAACTTTGTTGCATTGTTACATTTTGATGAGATCAGTTGTCAGTGCAGTCTTCTACGCTACTACCCATTTCCTCTTGTGTCTTCAGATTATGAAATGAGTAAAATTTGACATCACCTTCCAGATACTCAGGTATATCTTACAGTCACCATTGTGGTAAAGTTCTGAAAGCTTGTCAAAGGTGCCTGAGCCTGCTTGCAGTTGCTAATCTATCACTGGACAATCAGTATTTAGGGGGGTTCATAATGGGTCAGTAGTAATGCTGGGTGAAACTGAGAAATACTACAATTAATTTCTAAACAATTCATTGTATCACCATATGAAATTATTTATTTTAGTTGATTGATTCTTAGTCATGTGTTTGAAACAGTTCTTTCATAACAAGCCCAGCAAATACATACATTTTAATTAAGTACGTTTTAGTTATCTGTCAATACCTTTTAAATAAATATAAATATTATTATCTGATTAATACCAGTATAGACTGTATATTGTCCAGCACTGGTCAGTATGCATCCTGAAGATCCTGCATTTGTGCTATACCCTGCTTGCTTCTTCTGGAATCTGATTTGAAGGATGTCTTTTGAGTGTGTATGTCCAGTGTCTCTGTGGTTGTGATGCGCCGTTCTTGTGTCGCAGGTTTATCAGGCTCAATGGAGAGTCTGATCACTCAGAGCACAAGCTGCTCCAGCCAGCCTCTCCTGGGTCCCACAAGCAGTTTGCACATGGAAGATGAATAACCAGACCATAGACCCTCACATTTCCCTTCATCTCTCAGAGGCTTCTTTTACTGGACCTACCCACACCACCCTTAAGCAGTCCTTTTAAAGTCCACCTGTGGTCTGAGGTGCAGTGGCTGTAAAGTCGAATGGCTGACTGAAAACAGTTTTCATTTCATTGTACCCTCCGGAGAATATTAATAATGTGTATTTAAATTAGAAATGCTGTAGTTAACACAGGTTATAATTTGACCCATTTAAGGAAAAAAATTGAGATTGTGTTAGGTGGGTGAGGGGGGTGTGTACATTTCTGTGGCCTCTTCTTAGTGTGGTGGGGTTGAGGCAGGAGTGGAAAAGTTAAGGGATTTTAACTACAGATGCAAAACTAACCAGCTATGGTTAAAACTTCAAGCACATCTTATCAATTAGAAAAAAAACAAAATCATTTCATAGAGTTGATGATGGTGATGAAGTGTTGATAGTAACATAGAGCTATTGTGCAACTAAACCAATTTGTGTATATTATAGATCTGTAACTTTGTGAATTTGATATGAAGTACTGTTTTATAGCGAGTGCTTAGATGTCTTGAACTTATTATTTTTTTTGCATTTAATTTGATTGAACAATGAAGAGAGTCACATTTGCATCTCTTCTTTGAGAACTGGACCTCGTTTTAGCTGTGTGTTTATACCACACAAGCTGTTACTTTATCAGTTTTATGACCAAATCTAATGCTTTAAGTGTATTTGCACCTCGTATACATGTTCTGTAAAACAAGCTTATCGCACTACATTATGTTAACTATATACAGTCATTCCTTACTATAGCTTGTTTTTATTATTTTGTAAATGAGAAAATCCGTTACTCTGGTACGAAGTTGAGTTGTATTAAGCATGGTCCTATGATATGTTGAGTACTGCAGACATCTATATCTCTGCCTTTACTATTGCTAGTGAAAGAGCAACTCAATGCGTCCATCCACTTACTAGTATACTCTGAATCTGCATTGATTTAATCTCTTATCTCCAACTCATCCAACCCAAAGCACCATGACTTGCTGTGTTGTAAATGTAGCATTATGCATAGAGGTATATGTGCCTTTGAACAAGAAATGTTGCTACTTAATTGTGCTTTGAGCTGTTCTATTCTTGTGACTGGAGAACGTTCGGAGGCTTGAGATGTGTATTTTTTCAGCTTGCAGCATATGACCACGCATTGAAATAAGCACCAAGGATAGTATTATCATTTGTATAGTAGTTCACAGAGAGTATTTGTAGAATGATTTACCAATGAAATATACTTATTTGATTATTTAAGCCGCCACTATATTGAATAACAATACTAGTATTTCTGTTTGATTTCTTCCGTGTGTTTAATTTTGTGTAGGTTAAAAACTATAGTGCAACACATCTGTGAGATCGAGTAAACTACCTAAAGATGTTACTCATAGATGGTTGCTCCGTTAATATGTTTAAAAAGCTCTGTAATATTTTATATGCAATATTGATTGGTGGCTTCATATTAATTATCAGGCTAAGATCTGCATGATATATAGGTAAAGATGATCTACTTAATATGTCTCTCGGCTCTGGAAGATGCTCACTTATTTATCTCCCTCAGATAACGTGCCATTTCAACTTAATGATCCACTGTGCCTTCTTGTTCCTGTTCGTAATATTATTGGCCTGGTATCCAGGATGTTAACATTGGGTCAGCCATGGTTCTCAAGTAAGATCAGTATATGTTTTGTCCGAGTGTTTAGTGAACAGCTGCATGTCAAAACCAATAAATTCTTCAATAATTTACTTTCTTGCTGTATTTTTCATGCAGGTTATTGTTGATAAACCTTTGATGAACCGTCTTTATGGACTACTGAGGAGTGAGTGAGCTTGGATTAGTTTGGCAGAATGCAAATGAACGGCTGATGTAATCAGTTAAAAAGGAGTTGATGTTTTGGCCTTAGACTATTAAATTACATTAAAGGGGTAGAGACAGCTTCATTTAGCCTGCCTTGGCCAGTAGATGTCGTAACACGCTCATTTATAAGGTTTGCTCACAAATCATGAAGAAGATCTGTGTATAAGAGTCAAATATGTTAACTGTAAGCTAAGCTGTTTTTACCCAAGTACCAGAAAGTCTCCTGCAATTATCTAAAAAAAATATAGCTCACTCCAATTATTAAGAAAAACAAGCGTAACAAGCATTCTATATGTGGTCAGTATAGTAATTCGAGACTTTTCTGGCCATTTAAGGGGTTAATATAAATGAGAATTAAGGTACGCTTGCTGAAGCAAGACTGTGCCAGTATGTTTGTAGTAGTAAATCCTAGTATTCTCCAGGGAACACTCTAGGAGATCATTAGGATCGATGAAAAGTGCTGCTTGTCCATTCTCAGTACACTGACTGCTGTGCCTCACAGTTTCTCTCTGTCCATCTCACTGTCTATCTGACACATAGCCTAGCACTGAAATATGTATGTGGAGAATACAGGTGCTGGGAGTAGATCTTTCTCCTGAGCTTTCTTACTCGTATCCTAACTGTTAGAATAAACCTCATCTCTATGCCAAGGTTGCACAGCTCCAGTCCTGGAGGGCTGGTGTCCAGCACAGTTTGGTAATTTACCTACTCAGACACACCTGATTACATTTGTCTGTTAATTGCCAGGATTAGTGGGCATGTTTCAGTAGGGAAACCTTCAAACTGTCCTGGACACCGGCCTTCCAGGAGGGTTGTGCACCCCTACCTAAAGCAAACCTTAAGACACTGAGGGTGTAATATTGTGGGTATACCACATTTTTTTGTGGTACTTTTATTTTATCGGAGTTGTATATTTTTTCTTAATCTGCCAAAGTAAATTCATTGTATGTGGAGAAAAAAACATTTAGCAATGCTCTATACTTGTGATTCTGATCTGGTTCCAGATCACTCCATGAAGGAGCTGAGACAGAGTTCATCATCCACAAGCTCCATACCCTCAGTGCTCTCCCACTGTGGGATGATGTTAAGTGCAGAGGAAGGGCTAGAACCTGCTTCAGGACTTGGCTTAAACTAATAGGCAGCTGAAGTGCCAAAGAGCTGCAGCACCTAATCTGGCAGTTTATGCTCACAGCATGCATCTCCAGCCAACCTCAAACCATCTAACATACAGAAGAGGGCTGAGGGTCTGAAGCGACGTTCGATTCCTGAGTTTGTTGTTAATGACATCCTTTTGACTGAACAGTCTTTCTACCTCAGCATTTGACTGTGGGAGAGAGGACAGGAACTGCAGCAGAAGCCAAGTCTTCATAAGGGTTTATGCTTGCTGCATCCTTGTGTTTCCTCACCTCAGCCCAAAATACCATTGTGTTTGTTGATTCCTTCCATTTCTGAAGATGAATAATCTCCACTGAGTAATAATTTTGTCCGCTGTGGCTGGGCAATATCCTAGAAGGCTTGTGAGGCTTTGTCATGTCTTCCAGGACCTTGTTGTACCACATTGAACATGAACAATATCTCCACATTATTTGGAAGCCTTGCTCTTAGTTCATTTGCAAAGGAGATGGTGTAGCTCACACATCTCCTTCACACACAATCCTCCCTTCAGCTGTGCTGCCTGGACTCAGCTTGGCTATGTTTACATGCAACGATTTTTGCCAATCCGATTGAATACAATCCGATTACAGATTTAGACTGAGGTGTTTATATGCACTCTATTCAACAATCTGATGGAAAATCTTCGTTTACATGCTCACTACAAGTAATCCGATGCAAAATGACGCGCATGCGTGGAGTAGCGCTTAGAGTAAACGTTACCATGACAGCGAACATCACGTGAAGTCCAGACCAGTTTCTGCTCCGCCATGTTGAGCGGTGTAAACTTTCGCCGTGACGCGACGCACATGCGCAGAACATACTTACACGTTCCGATTGGAATGTAATCGGATTCAGGCGTTTACATGGCTATTATTCTTCTATTTAACGGATTATTTAGAAGTTTACCCACCTCGTTTAATCGGATAGAAATTGTATTCCGAATGGCCTCAATCGGATTAGACTATTCCGATTGAGGTGTTTACATGGACGTATTCTATTCCGATTGAGCTATTAGTCGGATTATTAACGGATTATCAGGCTGCATGTAAACGTGGCTATTGCTAAAGTATGGCTTTGGAGAGATGTGTCTGTCTATTGGCTCTTTGAGCACATCTGCTTTTGCCATGGGGTTAATGACTCTGCTGCAGACAGACTTTGTGAGCATTATTAAACAGTCAAGCAGCTTGAGCAGGTCTGTCTGTTCCCTCCCAAAAGCCTTAACAGCAGACTGCACCTCACTAACTATAGATTTTATAAAAGTGAGGTACAAGAAGTTCTGTGGGTCATTGTTCATGGAATGTAGAACATCTGCCATATGCAATTTTAATTCCTCCCTTTGATCCAAAATTATAGACGTGGCAGGCTCTATGGAAAGGCAACATGTGGTACAGACCCTAGTTATCATTAAAGGCTTCTCTCCTCAGGTCATTGTATTTTAGACCCCCCTACCAACAAAGAGAATACGTTGCCATTGATCATTTCAGTACACTTCATATGGTTCATCTGAAATTTTTTGTCTGCAATGGAATCCAGAAAAGCAGCTTTACATGCCTGACTAACTAATTAAATATGTTTTAAGCGCCACCTACTGTTTGTCTTGGGTGACATTTGCACATGCATGTTTCAACGGATTTCAGTCAGATCAGTTAGTCAGTGGCTGAGTAAGAGACAGCAATTCTTGTAGGCTGAAAAAAGTTAGCATTTAAAGGTAAACTACAGTTTTGTATTAAAGGTGCTGTGTCTGTTTTGGTTATGGTGGGTTTCGCTTCATGTTGCATTTTTAAAATCTAGATTGTCATGAGGTCACAATCCTAACTGAGCACGATTTAACTACAAGTTGCATTCTAAACACAACTGCATTTCATTCATATTTACATAATCTATTGGTATTGATACAGAATGCCATCTTCTGTGTGCTGCGATAACATTATGCTCTCTCATGCTGTTATGTGTACAAACAGGGGCTTTTCTAAACATGACTAATATGATTGGGCAAAAACATCCACAAAATAATTATTTTCAGGCACCCTGCTGTAATCTGGCCAGGGCCACGGAATATCTCCTCATTTTAGTTTTGATCTAGATATTTCTGATCTAAATAATTCTATCAAGATATTTATTATATATTCATATCAAGACATTATTTATATATTTAATTTAACTTCATTTAAATTCAGTAACTTTTTATAGAGGCTTAGATCCTTGTATAGTCTGCCCTCTGCTGGTGACAACACAAAATTACACTGAAAAGTGGAATCTTGTGTGTATTAATGAGGGACAGTAGATGCTGTCCTATATATTTTATAATAATATTGTTGTTAAGTGATTTTAGTGGATTTCACTGTCCAGTATACTTAACATTGGAATTAGACATATGAAATCTACAAGATTTAAAAAAATGAACTTAATTATTGTCATCAGTGTAACAGACCCAAACAAAGAACTGAATATTTCCTGTGTTCCTGAAAAGTTATTTCCGAAGCATTACTGCTCTCTACGACACTGAGCTAGCATATAAAATTAATGTAATATGTGTAATATTGCATATAAATCTATGTTATATGCCCAAGTAGTCTTAAGATTTCAGAAACGTTTTCATGCAACTGTGCTTGCTTGTGTGCTATGTTGGTGATAATAAATATGGTTATTTTTAGTCCAAAGTCCAGTGTACTTGACTCCCAGTAAACAAAAACTAATTCATGTATTATTTCATTTGGTACATAACAGAGAACAAGTTTTATAACAAAACATTGTATTTAAAGTGCCCAGTCTTGGGCCTGAGGAGGTTATGGCATAGTTATACCAGTATTATTTCGTTTACCTTTTTATCTTACTCAACAGTATAGTAACAAAGTATTAAAATTACTCAAGTAATCTTCATTCATATGTGTGTTTATGTGTGTATGTGTGTGATTTTTGTGCTTTGTTCTACTCTTCACAACTGACTCTGCCCATGAGGAGCTTGTTAATTAGTTAGGGAGCTGAATCAGGTGTGCTAGATAAAACAAAACACACAAATATGCACAGTGTTGAGTCCCCGGGACTGGAGTTGGGAACAGCATTATCATTAGTTACTGTTTTCCATTTGTGTCAGATACAACTAACATCCAAACAAAAGCTAATTTTACTAAATCACACCTATGCAAGACTAATTGTTTGGTATCAAGTAAGGAACAGTAGTTGCACCCAGAAGAGGTGTCTGTAAGCTTCACTAAGCATGCTTTCTGCCTTACTATTTATACCTCTCTGGTCTGAATCTGTCTCTCTCTTACTTATTAGGAAAACTTAATTAAGCAGGTGTGTTTAAGGACACCGAACTCAGGTCGCTCCATTCTCTTTCATGACGTCAGAAAAGGCTCACAAGTGCACTATGATTCGCTCCAGTTTCTGGCACCGATGCATCTGAAAGCTAAAGATATAAAAGCTAAATCTGAAGGATTTCCTCTCATCAGTAGCTGAGCCAAGGAGAGAGAGTCCACTAGCCAAGGTGTATTAGATACAGTGCAGCCTGTAAGTAATTGGACGGAACAGTGAGTCTTTGGCCCCGTACTCCAGTACACTGGATTGAATAGGCTTACTAAGGTGAAGGTACAATATCTGCTTAATTCAAGGAAATCTACATCTATATTTGGTGAAGCACACATTAAGTTGATAGTTTGGTAGATTCAAGTATCTAGCAGAGTGCTGCACCTTATTCTGAGCATGGATTGCTGGGTGCGTTGTGTAAATCTGACGGTTGCACAATCTTTTGGTGAACAGTCCCAAATATGCTCAATAAGGTTGTAACTGCAGGCAGCTGAAGCAGTGAAAACTCATTGTCATGTTGCTGGAACCATGATCATGTCGAAAGTGTCTGTATTGTACACACTATTGTATAGTACATTATTACATTATATTATTCCAACAAAATATTATTTATCATTTAATAACTTCTTGCTGAAATGTTGCACAAAACACCATAAAATACCTGGTGGCTAGATTACAGTATTTCAGTCTTCACTATGTACGTTATTATTAATTAATAAATCAAATAACAGCAATGACTTTGAACTTCAGTGTTTGTAAAAAGGCCATTAATTGATCGTCTTTAGAATTTGTCTCAAGAACATGTTTGCTACATGCTACACGCATTGATCATGTTTATTTTGAATATTGTATGGTTTTTCATTTAGTGGGTACGTATTTTAAAAGTATTTTCCAAAAAGTGACTGTATTCTGAATACCACCTTTACTAAATGTAACTTGGACTAAATACAGATACTTAATTTTTGTGTTCTGAATACATATTCCAAACACTTTTTTTGGTATTCTGTTACATCCCAATCCTGGCTGTTAGAGTCACTGCTGAAATGAAAAAGGTCCACCAATCAAAAATATCCAGCCAACAGCATCCTGTGAGCACTGATGAAGAACTACAGGATGACCAACACAAACTGGAGCCTACGCCAGTGGTCATTGGGCGGAAGGCAGGAAACACCCTGGACAGGTCGCTAGTCTATCGCAGGGCATATACATGTACACAGTGAAACGAAACAACATTCCTCCAGGACCATGGTGCAACACAGGAACACCAGTGCAAAACAATACAATATACACTGTGCAGACAATACAGTGCAATAAATACAAAAGACTTTGAATAAATACAACAGTTTATGGTACTGAGAATATGTAGAGTTGCGCAAAGCAGGATGTGATGTATATATTAGCAGATTGCCTAGCATATATGAACATAGCAGTCATTGAGGTAGCAACCAGAACAACAGTAACTGAATACAGTATTTGGTTGATACAGTATTCTAACAGCTGATGTAGTTAAGGAAATAAAATGTGCAAAATGCAAGTAGTCAGCTATGTGAATTATATTAAGTGAAGCATTCCAGTGTGAGATTCAATAATTATTTTTAAATACAGTGTCACAGACATAATTGCAAGAAGTGTGGAGTAAGACGGAGTCATATTGTTATGTATATATGTGTGTGTGCGTGTGTGTGTGTGTGTGTGTTGGTGGGTGTTTAGTCAATTTAGTCTGTGGGAGTTGAGGAATCTGATGGCTTGTGGAAAGAAACTGTTGCACAGTCTGGCTGTGAGGGCCCGAATGTTGTGGTACTTTCTTCCAGATGGTAGATGCCAGGTGTCAAAGCAGGTGCTTTTCCATTTAATTAGCTGCTCCTCTAACCCTCTTTGTGGTGTGGAAATCGGCCTGAGAGCATTTCACAGAAATCACGCACACACTGAAAGTTTGAATCATCACATCATTCCAAATTCAAATCATAAAACATCCCAAACATGCCAACTCGCCCAGCACCATTATACCTACAAATACAGAGTGTTTTACAGCACCTGTGGTATGTAAGATCATGAGTGGTTCTCAAACTGGTTGTAACCGGTTATACTAAATGTATTGACACCGACCTGTTGTCTCTCTGAGAGTGTTTACGACCAAAACCTACAACACTGTGTAAAAGGCCAGCCAAGAAAAATGTAAAATTGTTTAAAAAATCTGTCAGTGCAAAAACAGTGTTATTTTAAAAGTATTGAGTGTTTTACTGCTAATAACACTATTTGGACCATTCTGTTTAATTAGGTCCCACTGTATATTATTACAGTAAATTATTAAGTATTCAGATCTTAGACGTTTACAAGGATTGTGTTACGATCTGAGCTATCTCAAACTCTAACCCCCGAATTTCAACTTGTCAAAATAATACATTTCTTTCAATGTTGATTTAAACAATCTTTTTGATTTCTTTTGAGAGATTTAGAAATTTAGATTTATCATAAATAAAAAATTTTAAATAAAAAAAAAACTTGCTGTCCCAGGTTTTCACACCACTACTGAAACACAGTTTTAGTCCACAGGAGGAGTCTTATTTTAGCCACACCCCTGCATTTTAGAGCAGGAAGTGAGACTGCATCCCTGTCTCTCATGGCCACATGGTGCAGTTAAAGCAGTTAGTAAATGTGTCCCAAAGGCTGAACATCAGTGTGTAACAATAAGAATTGTCACTTCTAAAACACATTTTCTGCAATTAGGTAAACTTTTTTGTTTAAATAAAAATATTATGATTTTATGTGTGTACAGCAGTTCAAAGCTGTGTTTGCTAGTCATTTAGTTTAATAAAATAAACATAAGGTATGAGGTCACTCAAAACAAAAGGATTTTAGTCTAAAGTCTGAGTCAGCTAAAATACGTTTTCAACTCTGGCTTTAAAACAGTTTGGTAGAATGAGCTGCAGACTGTATGATAAAGTTGGTCGGCCCTCACTAGCAGCACAAAGGGAATCATGCTGGCTTATTCGTATTTATAAATCATTCTCTGGCCACATGCCAGCTTACGTCTCATTGATGATCTCTATAAACGACTTTAATTATCAGACCCACTCTAGTGACTGGAATACCTGTCAGGTACCTAGAGTTTTTACTGAACAGGAAAAATCTGCTTTTAGCTACAGTGGCCCAGGGAGCTGGAATTTACTACAGAAGTCTCTAAAACTCAACTCACTGGTGTCTTTTACTGCTCTATTCTAGTAAATAATTAGATCTTTTCAAAAATGTCAGTTTTTTTATTGCTTATTATCTAAGTTGGTTCTTTTTTATTGATATTTTATTCCTGTTTTGAGCAGTTATATATATATATATATATATATATATATATATATATATATATATATATATAAAAACATTAAACTAGAAAAACAAAAATAGAAGAACACAGGCGTGGTTCCTTTTCTTCTGCAAGCTCCTCAGCCACTTTCAGTGTGCCTAATTTAATTAAAGTGCAATTTAATGAAGTTAGCTGAACTATTTATTGAATGGTAACTGTAAATACAGGCTAATACATTGTCAGATATTAAATCCCATTGATTTTTTTTGTTTATTAGCATTTATTCTAATATTATTGGGCCTCACTCACCATTATCTTCCTAAGTTTTTCTTAAATTTGTTCTTGAGAAAGGTCCTAAGAAAAAGTCTACATCAGATTTATGACGTGTTTTTAAACCACAGAATTGTTCACACCTTTGTCCTCTTGAGTGTGTAGATTCTGTTACCTTACCTAAGACCAAATAAGAAAACATTGGGGAATGTCAAAATCTTTGTAAAAATTATGTAGCTGGATTTTAAGAATAATTTTTTTCTTAACAATGGTTGGTGAATGAGGCCCATTGTTTATATATGTTTTTGTTTTGTTTTGTTTTGTGTTTTCAAATAAAGGCTGAGTGCCCAGACAAACAGCCTCAAATAAAATTTTCTCAGAGGGCCTAAGAGTTTTGTACAATAGGCCTACATCCATCACAGTATATTACAGTGCCCTCTTAGAACAAACTGTACTTTTAGGGGTACAAATACCCTCACTGGGGTGGTGCCCTCACTGATATGTCTTTTGTCCCCTCAGTTAGGGAACATATTTGTGTTGTATTCCATTCCAATTCTTTTTTTAAGTTGCATTGACTCTATACACCCTTTCCTAACTCCAGGCTTTTTATTGCATTTCTCTACTTAAACATATCAAGTAATGCAAATATTCAAACATGCACTTTTTACTTTTAAAACTAAGTCTTTTAAGGTATGCAACAGGGTCTTATGGATTAGGGTTGTACATTACAACATTTACATTGTTTGGAACCAGTATAAACCAACCTGCATCACATTATTTGAATCTAATATAAAAAAAGAGAAAGAAAATATGCAGGGATTGACTTTTACATCAGCCCTGAAGGTACTTTGGCTGGGGTTAAGCATTTCGGTCTGCTGTGCTGTAGAGCATAAGCGCCTCATAAGCTGCGGGGGCACAGCCCACCTGACACCTGCAGCTTTTTAGACTCCTTCACGTGCCCGCTCGTCTCTTCATCCCTCTTTAGAGGACAGTGTTTTAGGAGATCAGGAGAGGGGTCAGGAGAGGGCACGGTGGGGGATGGGGAGGGCTTAGGGTGTAAGAGATGGAGAGAGAGATGTGGGAGGGTTCAAGAACGGAGAAGGAGAAGAGGAAGAGAGAAGGCTGGAGCCAGAAGAGAGTGAGTGTGACTGAGAGAGCGTGTGAGCACCTGAGAGCACAGCACCGAGTCACTGAGCACAGTGAGAGTTAGGGCAGTGAGTCAGTGTGAAGCTCTAGTGAGGAGTAATCCTACTGCAGTGGTACACGTCCTAGTGTGTGGGGTGCGTGAGCATTTGTGTGTTTGTGTTGGTGATGATGGCTCAGCAGGTGAGCAGCTCTCCCTTCCTGAAGCCCTTTTACCTAAAGATGCCCCTGAGCGTGTCCAGCCCTCTCCGGCAGCGCCGGCATACGCTGCCCGCCAGCGAGTTCCGCAACCTCACTCCACAGGATGCCATCAGCGTGTTTGAGATCGAGAGGGAAGGTAAGAGATTCGCACTGTGTGGTGGGCCACAAGCTGGGAAATGAAGGTGTGACTTTCTAAGTAATTTAAAAGGTCCATATCCTACGTTTGTCTTATATTTTATACTCATAAAATATTTCCCCCCTGAGGTCTACTTATGACATTTGTATGGTTCTATGTACCAAAATCTGTCATAATTCATTTAAACATGACCATTTTCCAACTTTGTCCTTCATAATGTGACAGGTTATTTTGATACCGTAGCTTTAAGACTGATATCTATATATAACTGACCTTTGTTGTGATTGGCAGGCCTGTACTGTGCCTCATTCAAAAAACAGTTCAGATTGAATCAGTCTTTATAAGCTCAACTTTAATAAGCAGGCCAAACTGCTGTAGGCTGAATGAATGAGTGTATGTAGTTAGTTTCTGTGACATCACAACAATTTCAAAATGGGCTGTTTTTGCCACTTAGTTTTCATATAGACTATTTGGATGGGACTGAATGGTACATTTTGAAACAAAAGTAGTATTTACATACTACATCAAACTCACACACACGTTTTCTAAGCCATTTATTCTTCTGGGTCATGGGGGGAGCTGGAGCCTATCCCAGCAGTCATTGGGCAGAACGCAGGACATACCCTGGACAGGTTGCCAGTCCATTGCAGGGCAGACACACAGACACATACAATTACATCAAACTCTTGTTTTTTGTTTTTTTTGTTTTTTTTTACTGTGAGTTCAGTTTTTCATGGTATGAGCCCTTTAGTTTCTATATGCCTTTCCATATCTCACTAATGTTAAACAGCAATAACTTTTCAGTGCATCAAATCATTCAATTTAAAGGCATCATTTTTGTTTATGCTAATATTTATTCTGCTTCTTTGAGTGAGGGTGTCTGGAACTGTTCCTGAATGAGTAAATTAATGCATGAATCAATAGAGTTCTATACACAGGAGAAAGGTTTGCTTTGTGACCAATTTTATTATATTTTCAGACATAAATATCATAAAGACTGCCTCACTCTCACACCTACACAATTTACACATTAGTTTCACAGTATTTACTGAACAATTCATACTTACTCAATAATAAATCTGCAGTTTAATGGGTTAAACACCCAAACATAACAAGCCATGGCTCAGTAAATTCTGCAACACTTCATTTTCTTGCTTAGCACTACACACAGAAAACAGTGAAAGAGGATTATGGGCGATAGAGTAATTTGATTGTGGGCAGACACTTGAACTCTTGGCTGATCTGCAGATAATCCGTTGTTTGTGTTAGTGTATGAAAGCAGGATCATCACTCCTCTCATCCTCTATGACTGAATCCTCCGCCTCACGTCTGCCCGTCTTTCTGTCTGGCCCCTAGCTTTCATCTCGGTGTCTGGAGAGTGCCCGCTCACCCTGGACGAGGTGCTGAGCTTCCTAGGCCAGTGTCCTGAGCTCTCCATGGGCTGGTTTGAAGGGGGACAGCTGGTGGCCTTCATCATTGGATCTGGTTGGGCCAAGGACAGACTGGCACAGGTGACGTTTACATAGCAGTAGACTCTGCTTTTCTGTTAGGTCTTGTTCTTTATGACAGTGCTTGACTTTCAGTGCTTGGGAAGTTGAGCCATCTGCCTTATTTTAAGAGTCTGAAAAGACCTTTAAAGTCTAAAGTCTAATCAAAAGTTCAAATAAAGCAGTAGTTTGGTGAGAAAGCAGGTTCACACAGTTTTCCCCTTACCCCAAATGTAAGTTGAACAGCTTCTTTAGTTTTGCACCCTCACAAATCTCTTTTTCAGACAAGGTTCTTTAGGCAGCCAAAAGTGATTCTTCTATGGCATCAGTCTGGCAACTTTTTTTTTAAATGCAATTTTAAGTGTTCTTTTAAGAACCTTTACATTACATGGTGGTTCTTTAAACTTGAGAAATTCTTTTTCTTACGTGCACATCTCTTCCAAAAGTGATTTTATAAAGAATTATCACCTGAAGGGTCCCTTAGGGAAAACTGTTTCCCTCCACCATGCAAAAGTGCTCTTAACTGGTGTGGTAAAATCTTCTGTTACTTGCTATCTTATAAACCTGTATGCTTATTAGCCTTTATGGTGCATGTGTTTAAACTGTAGTCCAAGTCCCATGCACTGCCATTTGGAAACAATGACTGTGGAGAATCTAGGTGCAAAGACTCCATAGTTCCCACCACATGGTGCTTCACACCAAAACACTTAAATAAAAAATATGGTATAAACTGTAAATCTTCCCTGTGAGTTGTTATTTGTCTTTGCTATCACATCACTGGTTCTAACTCCATGTCCTGTCTGTCTGATCAGGAGGCCCTGACCCAGCACGTGCCGGACTCTCCCACTGTTCACATCCATGTGCTGTCTGTGCACCGCCACTGCCGGCAGCAGGGGAAGGGCTCCATCCTGCTGTGGCGCTACCTGCAGTACCTGCGCTGCCTGCCAGGCCTGCGGCGAGCGCTGCTCATCTGCGAGGAGTTCCTCGTGCCCTTCTATGAGAAGTCCGGCTTCAAGGAGAAAGGCCCCTCCGCCATCTCAGTGGGAGCTCTCTGCTTCAGAGAGATGGAGTACATGCTAGGAGGGCTGGCTTACGCACGACGCAACAGCGGCTGTTAAAAGCTTCCGTGATTGAGGTTCTCAGTGGTTTTTCAAGTAATGGACGCGGTGCTCAGATTCTGGGCAGTAACTGAAGGCTCCTGGTAGAAAGGCCGGGCGACAGCCACTGAAACATCTGGGTCAACATCCAACTTATTAGAGACTACAAGTTAGTGTCTCACTGACATGAGACTGGGACGATTACAGTCTGCAGAATGGCACAAAAAATTGAATGTTGGAGGTTGGATAACCAAATTTACACAGTACAGGATAGCACTTAATGTGGATTGGTTTCAGAGATCCTGCGCACATCATTGTGGTTGCATTTGAGATGTAAACAATTGTAAATGTTTATATGAATGCATTAGCATATATTAGCTAATCAGCTGAGTGAGGTTTTGTAAACATTTTCATGGTCGGCCACATTGTCCTTCTTATTGACAGCAAACCACTTTAAACTCCTTATTACATGTGTGGTTTTTCTGCCCCACCCCATTTCTTGAATTTATGGGATTCATTGAGCAAAATATTTTCATACGGTGACTGTAAATATATCTGACACACCAACATTTTTCATTTACTTCATACATAAAATTTCTTAAGCCCATCAATTTGGTCTGTGGTCTTAAACATGCTGTAGAATATAATAGACCGAATCATTTCAGAATAAAACTATTTACAGTTCAGTGTTTTCTGTGTATTTTATACGGCACCAATTATTCAAGTTTTTGAATGTCTCATCTGTTTAGAGGGTGATATTAAATAGCAGGGTCCTGTCTATATTGGTAGCTTGTTCCATATTTTTAACACCAAAATCTGTGTGATGTCACTAGGGCTTGGCCAATAAGAAACAGGCAGACAACCATCTGAGGTGCAGATTGTTTAAGCTGTATTTTGTAACAAGTGAATAAATGGGTAGCTAAAACACTACCCTTATGTATTTAACCATTACTCCATTTGAAGCAGTACACAAATAAAAGAATAACATTTGAGTGCTTGACGTAACCAAAATATGGCAGTAGTAGGTACATTTACCAAGGCACTGAAGGTATAGATTGTTTATCTTTTTCGTCCCTGGATTCTGAGGTCGTCTGAACAATGGTAAAACCTTTGCCTGATTTAGTGACATGCTAAAACATGAAAAGTATAAAACGATAATTTTTTTTTTAGCATATATTTTCTGTTTTTGTACCAGTGCTTATTCTCCCACACTGTCCTCAGATACTGCAATGCGTGAGAGAGACGGTTTGGAGCTAGAGCGTCACAGGACACCCTGCTTAACAGACAAAATAAAATTCTTTGGGGGACACTTTAAAAAAACATTCTCAGAGTCATCACAATGGTCAAAAGTGGCATTCCAACTTGCACTGAGAGAAGAGGAAAAAAATAATTAAAAAAGAATAACACAAGCATCATCGTCCAAGTTCACACAGAAATTGCCTCTGAGGGGCGGGACAATGTCCAGCTTATCTTCTTTCCCTGGCTACTGGTCGATGCAGGACAACAGCCAATCCAATCCAATGCCCCTCTCTACCCAAAGCCCCGCCTCCTTTGCAGCTCCTTCAGTGGAGGTGGGCGTTGAGGTCGTACTTCTCGCAGAACTTGTCCGTCAGGGGAATGCAGGTGAGCAGCTCGCACCACTCACACTTGATGGGGTAGACGTAGAAGAGCACCACCAGGCCGGCGAACAGGCCCACAAAGACGGCCAGGAAGACGAGGATCTGGCAGCGCTTGCGGTACATGTCCATGCGGCCAAAGCTGATGTAGGGCAGGAAGGCGAATGAGAGGAAGAAGCCCGAGATGAAACCGCAGATGTGGGCGAAGTTGTCGATCCAGGGCAGCAGGCCGAAGGCGAAGAGGAAGAGCACCACACACAGTAGCTTGGTGAAGGCGCGCCATGGCTGCGCAAGGATCTGCCAGCTTTGAAACAGCTCCACAAACAGGCAGGCCAGGATGCCAAACTGAGAGCCAGCTGGACCCACCTACACCGAGAAGGAGAACTAGGTCAGACACTGAGGGCTGGTTTTTCTACATGGATTAGAGTTTTGTCTTAGACTACCTGAATGGCAGGGTCAATGGTTTTTCACCAATAGAAATCCCACTGAGTGTCTTGGAGATATATATATATATATATATATATATATATATATATATATATATATATATATATATACTTGGGGTAAATAAATATGTTTATTTGTTTAGTTCATCAGTAGCCAGTACTAGAATCTTACTTCAAACTTGAATAAGAGTTGTAGCAGGGTAGCTAGCACATGAGATCACTGCTCCTCAACATTTGTTCATTATTAGCCATGTTAGCATTTTGTTCTGAAGTGTTGCTTTAACAATGACAAGTAAAGAAATACCAAGATGAGTTCAAATATAGATATATTCAAATAACCACATTAATCTGTTTCACTGCGGTTTTAAAGGTATACTCAGGGTGGGCTGTAGGTACCTCAGCTCTGTAGGGCAGGAAGATGGCGCTGGCTAGATTCCCTGTGATGCCGCTAAGGATGTAGATGATGGAGATACGCAGCCAGCCAGCTAGCTTTTCCAGATCTCTCAGGATAGTCATCTGAAACAGCACGGAAACCAGGCAGTGCAGAATCCTGGTTTACACACAGAAGAGGAAGAAGAGAAGACTTTGATGAATCTATATTTGTGCTGCATTTGAAATCTCATATTCAGCTGGGGATACTGTGTACAGTTTATAAAGCCTGTCATATGCAGTACAGTCTGCAAGTAGCCGGGCAGAAACTCCAGCATACTAGATTTGAAAAAATTGGCAATAAGGTTTGCTTGAATTAGAGTATTTCCACATATACTGAGTTAACCACAATTAGCCTTTTTTATACCCTCTGTGCCCTATTTAGGAGATTTCAGTGCTTCCCATGAAAATATAAAAAGAATTAATATATATTTTCTTTAATTATGCATCCTACACATTTTCAAGAATAGCAATTGGGATTGCTTGATTAGTAGTTTACACTTTACACTTCACACTGGTCCAAAGACTAACTTGCATGTTTGTTTGATTGTCTAAGTGAAAATAAGTTTACACACCCTCTACAAAGAACACACTTTTACATGTTATAATACATAATTACTGTTTTTTCTTTTTACATTTAACATTTAGAATATAAAATATGGCCTGTACAAAAGTTATATATTTACTTTTTTTTCAATATGTTACAACTTAACAAATAAATAGATAGTGTGCACTAAAATTGGCAGAAAAATGACATATTTAAGTTTGTTTCCTGTAGAAGGTGTATTAACTTACTTTGACCCTGAAAATCAACAAAATGCGTAATTTGGTGGCTGTTCAAACTTTTGCATATGACTGTATTTCTATGCGTTAATAGTTCCTTACACCAACATTAAATACATTAAATACTGTTTAGATTGTCAAATCTATAAGAAAGCCCAAAACTAACCAAACCAACTGAATCAAACTAATATTTCAATTTGCACAAAAACTTTCATTTTCAGAACCAAGAAATTTTGTGACTAGAGCCCACTGTGACTAGACGCTAGAAATCTAGAGCTGGACTACAAGCCAGCTCAACTCTACTACACACCGCTGGATCAACAATTGTTGTTTGCATCTGCATTTAATGCATCTTTACATTTTGAAATAGATTGAGAAATTTATACTGGCCAGAAAATTGAGTGCATACCACATAAAAACCCAAGCGCTAGGAATCAAAATGTTAGATTAGTTGACAGATTCACAGATTCATCCTGCAGCTGCTGTTGACTGTCACATGATCAGTAAAGAAAACTGAGTCACTTCCACTGGCAGCCATACAAGCTCACGTCACTAGTTGAGTGCAGATTCTGTTTTCCACACACTTTTGACTAGTCCATCACTCTGGTACAGGTTAATCTTTCTCTCCATGACACTTCATCGCAGAGCTCTACAGGCTTTAAATACATAATTGTTATGTTTTTGAGGTTCATCAGTGGTCTGTATCTTGTGGTAAACCCTCAGAGGTCACTCTGGTGTGTTTTTCTCTTTAGTGTCTGAAACATCTGTTTTGTAACACATCTGAATTATGTCAATGTCCAATTACTTAAAGACTGCACTGTAAGTAATGACGTCATTAGTGTTCCCCATATGAGGTTTTATGACCACTAATCTCATCACTAGGTGTGTTAAAGACTCAATTCAGTTTCCATTACTCTAACCTCAGCTCCAACAGCCCTGTACGCTGTCTCACTATAACGAAAGGCATTGTTTCATTCTTATGAACACATGCACATACAGCACCACACAATATAAGAGCACAATAAGAAACTGTTGGCAAGGTGAGATGGCTTGGCAATGAGTTTGTGTGTGCGTGTGTGTGTGGCAGATGCACGTGCAGGAGGGTTAATCTACAGAGCCTGCTTAAGAAAGGGAAACATCCAAAGAGCGAAGCTCAGGAGAGCTCTGGGCCCTGCACTTAGTTTGATTACTGTCCAGACTGAGAACACTGAGTAAAAGCACTGCATCTGTTCAGAGCATTAGATTCAGCTGTTTCTCAAAATAGATTAGCTGATCAAACATGCCTCTGTGTCAGCTCCTTAGGTACCAGTCTATCTGGTCTACAGCGTCTACTAAAATATCTAAAACATCTCCGAGAACAAAGTGATTCAGCTTTAATTTGACTTTTAATTGAAAATGACTGCACAGTTGATTTTTGAGTGAAAATCCTGGTTATGTGGTTTAGGACACTGAAATACTGTTAACTAGACAAAAACAGGAACAAATTTCAAGGTGGCTGCTACTACTATATCCTGCCTTCCGCCCAATGACAGCTGGGATAGGCTCCAGCACCGTGACGCAGAAGGATAAGCGGTTTAGATGATATACGTATGTATGTATGGTACTACTATCTTTGGTTAATGGACTTTCATCCATTTTTATAGATAACCAAGGGGGGTCCAGGACCTCCTAACTAATCTCTTGGACCCCCTTAACAAATTCTGGTTCTTATTATGAAGTTATGCTGTAGGGCAAAAAAAGACACTCAAATACAAATTCAGGGAAAGGTCATTATTTATCTAATTTACTATTTACTAAACAACTGGTAAACTTCTGTCTATAATGTTCTCAACTAACTATGCAGTACTGGTCTGCCTGAAGGTGGCACTGTA